CATTTCAAAGATGAAGTAGTTAATCATACACAATTCAGCATTATGCATCATTATGAATTTGTATAAATGTACAATCAACGTACAAGCTGTACAACCCATTTAAGGGTGCAGTTGGGATAGAAAAGTGCTTAACATATTTATAACTTTTGATATCTGCTGCATGTTTATAGAACTAGAAAAGCATGTTAACCATATGGGTAATTTTATTTCTCTTTTTCTTTTGGGTGTGCTCCAAAACTTACTGAGCCACCTGGAGACAGAATTCAGAAAGCCAATCCTTAAGCATGTCGACCTCCCCAAAATAAGGGTTCAACCAGTCAGAGACTTCATTTTTAAGTTTCCCATCTTAGCTACTTAGTAAAATACACCAGTAGAGACACTCTGAATAACTTCCAGTTTGGTTTAGTGAGTTTCAAGTCATTGGGGAATAGACTGTAATCTAATAAACACAATATTGTAGTTAACTCCATACTTGATTTAGTTAAATATTTAGTATTTATTTATTCATTTAGTTGATCAGTATGCATATATTAAACATCTAATATGTACAAGACACTGACCTACAGGCAAAGAGAACATAAAGATAAAAAGGACACTGTCTTGTGTTCAAAGGACTCAGGTAGAGACAAATGAAAATAGAAAGGCAATTACACTATAGTTAATGAGTACTATGATAAACATATCTTAAGGAGCATAAAAAATAGGCCCCAATCCCCAGCAAAGACTTCCTGAAAGAAATGAGATCAAAGCAAGAATTAGAAGATGCATAGGAACTTGCCATACGAAAGCAGAGAGTGGAGTAGAGATTTATCAGGTTGGTAATAAAGGCATTTCAGGAATTGGAAAGAGCAGAAGCAAAGGCAGAGAAGCATGACAGACAGTGTTGTGTTCAAGGGACAAAAAGGGTGTGGAGTAACTACACAATTAAATGTGAGGCATGAGTGGTAATAGATGAGAATCGAGCACTGGACAGGAGCCAGATGGTGGAATACTGTTCATGCTCTAAATAATTCAGACTTTTAAACTGTGGGCATTGGGGAACCAAGGAAATATCTGAAGAATGGGAATTATGTGGTTAGCTTTCTATGATAGTGGTAACGTGGGTATATGCAAGTATGTGGCACATATATTTGCAGGGCACAAAATTGAAAAAAAAGACATGTTATGAGAGTCCTATAGTTCAGATGAGAAATGAGATAGGTCTAATCTAGGTAACAGTCTGGGCCTTGTCTCTCTAGGTGAGAAAAGATTTCTACTTCTAGAAATATTTAGTAGGTAAAATTCACAGGACTTGATTATGGTTGGATATAAGGGACAGAAAGAAGAAGAAATCAAAGCTGTTTTCAAAGTTTCTAACCTGTATGTCTGATTGGTTGGTAATGCATGACCTGGAATAGAGAATATGAGAGGCTGAAAATGTAAAATAAATTCAATTTTTGGCATGTTGGAATTTGTGGTGCCTCTGGTCTATCTAGAGAGTGGTCTAGTGAGCAGTTGGATATACAAAACTAAACTTCAAGGATGGGTGATGTAGATTTGGGGAGTTATCTGCATATTGGTGGTTATTGAAACCATGTTCAGAAAGATTGGATGAAATGGGAAGAAGTGAGATGAAAACAGAGGTTAATTACATCTAGCTATACCACCTTCTCTTTCTAGTCAATGCTCATATCTATCAACATTCTAGTTATCTCTCCTTATTTATTGACAACTTTGGCATATGGCTCATTTTCTTTCTCTCCAGCCCAAGCCAACCATCATTAGAGATGGTTCATCTAATCCTCTGAGCTCTCAGTTCATTGATCAGATTTGAAGTCCTTCACCAACTCAACTTCAGGAATCCACATCCACACACCTATAACTTGTCCTCTACTGTTCCATTGCAAAAATTTTAGGGTCAGGTGTCCCATTTTATAAATACAAACTTCAAACTTGCTCACATTGATGTTTCCACTGTTGTTCTTTAGCCTCATCAAGAACTCTACTCTTTCCCACTACTACTCTATCACTTTCCAGTCTTACTCTCTACTACATTCTCATTATTGGTCCTTCTACTTTTTATTTCTCCATGTACCCCAGAATCTACCACTTTAACCCTTATCTTGACAATCGTCGAAAATCACTTGCCTTGTTATCCTTTTTTCAAGTGCCTAACTGTCTACAACTGAGTCTAATTTGTTTCTATTTTTTATTTATTTAGCAAACATTTATGTGACACTTATATAAGTTATTTTATCTAAGAACTTCAGAATTTTTAACTATTTTAACTCTTGTAACAAAGCCAATAGGTGAGCACAACCAGGACGTTCCCTGCAAGAGGAACTCAAACCATCATACAACTTTGTGATCCCCGATCTGGACCACAAAATTCTTCTGTTGCATTGACACTTCTTTCATTTTGGAATGCTTTCTATGGAGAAATCCACAACCATGCTGTGAGAAAGGAAAAACTATCCCATGAAGAGAGACCATGGAGGAAAACTGAGGCCACCACCCCTCAGCCAGCATCAAACACCAGACATAAGAATGACATGAATAAGCCTTCAGATGAGTTCAGCCTCCAGGGCCTCAGACATCATTGAGTAAAGACAAGCCATCCTCACTAAGTCTTGTCTAAACTTCTGACCCACAGAATCAGTAGGTTTTGGAGGAATTTGTTACACAGCTATAGTCACTAGAATACTACCAATAACAAGTTTATTGCTAAATCCAACGAACACATTTCAAGTCTTAATCATACTTGATTCTTTAGAATGTTTAATACAGTCAACCAAACCCTCCATCTTTAAATATTGTCTTTATTTGGTGTGTATACCACTGCATGATATACATTGGTACTTGCACCTTTCTCATCACTCCTTATCAGTTACCATTGAAAGCTCCTATACCTTTCCTTAGGGCTCTGTCCTAGGCCCTCTCTGGGCCAGCAGTCCTCAATCAGGAGTATGCAATTGAGAACAATTTATTCACTTCCATGGCTTTAATTATCTCCTATGTACCAATATCTCCTAAATATATATTTAGACCAGATGTCTCTTCTGTGCTTCTGACAAATATATCAAACCACAGGCATTAGAAATAGCCCCTTGGATATTTCACAGATACCTCAAATTCAATATGCACTAAAATGAAAGCATTATCTCCCGCTTCATACCTGCTCTTCATGTTGATATTTTTCTTTTTTCAGGAAATGACATCGACATCCAATACACATAATTTCCCAATCCAGAAACCTAGGATAAAACTTTTCCTCCTTCAGTACCAATCCCACACCACTATATAAATAATCAAGGTCTATTGATTCCAATTCATTAATACCCTTCTCTTGATTTCCAATGCTACCTTACCTTTGTGCAAGCCCCGCCAACTCTTCACTTAGTTATGATACTCATAATTTGTCTCACTTTCCACATTGCCCTTTTCCAATCTATTCTCCATACTACAATCAGAATATTTCTATAGTACAAATTTGAACATGCCTTTCCCCATTTAATACCTTTAAATAGCTGATCACTTCTCTGGGGATCAAGTTCAAACTCCTGATAATGACAAATATATCTGCAGCTTCATCTTTACCAGCTCCATGCTGCACAGTCTATCCTAATTTCTCTCTCACTTCTGGGTCTGAAATTCTGTCCTACCCAACTGTGTCTCTTTTCCCCATCCTCTTCTTTAACAAGCTCTTTCTATAGTCAACTCTGTCTCTGTTTATATAGTACTAATTCAAAAAGGTTTCCTTGCCACATTAAGCTATATTGAGCCTCCTTGCCTCTATGATCTCATAACAGTCTGTGCTTATCTCTGTCACAGCACTTTCTACCCATAAATGTAATTACTTGTTTACATGTTGATTGTCCCCCTAGGCTTGTAGCTCAGTGATGGCAAAAACTCCTTGTTCACGATTACATACTCAGTGCCAAGCAAAGTCCTACTTAAATAAATAGCATGGATTAAATATTTACTGGATTAGTGATTAATGAATGGGCTAAAAATGTCTGTGACAAATATAACCTTAGTGAGAGTCCTTGATACAGATAGGTAAAGGGAAAAATATGCTTACGGAGGGATAAGGGATAGATTTTAAGTGCAAAAGTGGAGATGAAGAGTCTAGACAAACCTTATGATTAGTTAAATGAGAATAGAAAGAATGAAATTCAATGGACGATCAATAGCAAGTGTGAATACAAAGATGCTATTAAGAGTTGTAAATATTAAGGCAAAAGTGTCATGTCACGGGTCTCCATTGTGACACATACTTCTCTTCAATATATGTGACAAGTTTGTAAGAAACTATCAATCCCATAAATATTTTATTATTTCATTCTCTATGATGGCAGTAGTCTCAAGGAGTTCAATAAATATTATTCTACTCTGAAACGGTGAGAGTCAAAGAGTTAACTCGACAAGTTTAAAGAGTGGGGCAGATTGAATATTGAATAACAAAACAAAGACATTTTTTAGAATATAATGAAATTGTAAGTTAAATCATTGGTAAAGACTATATATTAAAGTGAAAGATAAAATATACAATTTCTTACCAGAACACTGTTAAATTAATCAGTCTTCAGTACCCATGAATATTTTTAATACACGAACTAATGTCTCTGAACAAAGAACAAGTCCCAACATCTCTTATATACGTAAGTAATTAAACAGTACCTGCTCTGGTAGTAAGCAGTTTCATCCCAGGCTATTTCTCAGAATGTCAGAGCTTGGGGAGGAAAATCTGATCTTGAATTTCTTGTGAACTTTACCTCTGACATTCATTTTTGGCTATGTTGATGAAATTGAACTTATATCAAAAGATAATGAACCGTTTTCACTGGAAACCTGCTGTTTGAGATCTACTAGGAACAGGTAGGAAATGTTCTTTTCTGAGTATTGCTGTGAAGACCCTTTAGAACACTTATTGATGTCAGATACAGAACCTTCTTAACTGAATTCATGGCATTTGAAACATCATACTCCTTTTTATACTAAAATGTATTTTTTCTCCTTACCTTGCTGTACAAAGGATCCATACACAAACCACATGGAGTTGTAGAGAGTAGTAGAAGTCATTGATCCCATTTGTAATCGTGGGGGATTAAGCCAATTCAGGAGGTAGACCAGCAGACCCACCAGAAGGACTGTGCCAGCAATGCAAGCCCATAGAGAGAGATCAAACGGTGCCAGGCAGGCAAACATATCCACTGTCTTTTCAGCCCTTCGAAGTAGTACTCCCACTGAGTAGTCCATGTAACGTGTTGTAAAGTCCACCACATTCTCGCGATCTGGGGTGATGGTTAAAGCAGAAATCCCTATATCAGCTCTCTGAGAAATTGAAAGAGAAAGCAATGCATTAACAGGGTGAAAAACAATTTAATTTGTGGCACTTCAGCTTGCCTTGAGGAAAAAAAAATAGATGCCTCAGGCAATATCTTAAGTCTTTTTATATAAGCTGAAAAACACTGCAGAGACTTCTTAGAGAAAATCTATGTGTGAATTTTGCATTTCCTACTGCAAATCTTGCCCCACCAGAGTCAGACAAATTACCTTGTTCATATTATCAGTGCATGTGAAATCAATAAGGAATATTTCAGACACAGGTAACACCAGAAGGAAACTATCTTTTTTCCTTGGGTCATTTTATCGAAGCCATCATTAACACAGTAGCAAAGGCAAAACTAATTCTAAAAAATTCTTTCTGAGAAAACGTTTCCAAGATATTCAACATGTTCTTAATATGTAAATTATCATGCAAGTTATTAAGAAAAACTCAACATAGCGTTTTACCCTTGGTTTAGAGATCTCTGCATCAAAAGTTATAGTATTGGGCTCTAAATATATTAGAGTTTGTTAGAGCTTTCAGAGCACTAAGTTATAATGTCATATGCCAGAGGTCTCTACTATAATTTTATTGTATGAATCTCAGAAACATTTTAATGAACAATTAAAAATTAAGGAGACATAATTCTTGGAATAATAACCCTTCTTCTCAGTGTGTATCTCCTTAGGTTGTCAGTAACAGCACTCAATTACTGCTAAATAGCACATGCTATTGAACTTGTTTAAAGCACATGGTGGAGTTGCAGTGAGAGCACAGAACAAATGACTTCACATTTAAATTCTGTGATATGAGAACACATATTTAAATATCTAAAAAGATGCATCTCGTTTGAAATAATGATCTGTGGCTGTGGTTAAAGCTGTGGGAATCTCCTTCCAGACAAATACAAACAATAGTAAATTGTTGAACATCTTCATTATTTTTTTCCTTTTTCTTTTTTATTGTTTTATGAAAGAAGATAGAAATTGGTTTTATTGTTTTTGGGGACCAAAAAAAAGACTTGAAAAGTAAAATGCCTAGTGGAAAGCTAAACTCAGAAACATCTAGTCTCTGAAGTAATAATGGCCTCAAAAATATTCTAGCTAAATTTAAGCATCATGTGTGTGTGAGATAAATATATATAACATATACATTAAGTCAGCTCATGTCTATTTGTTGCTAGGCCCAGTGCTAAGTCTTTAAATAATTTTTCTCATTTGATCCTTACAATGAGTCACGAATTATGTTTCCCTTCTATTTCATAGATGAATAAACTAAAACTTAAAGAGTTTAAGTGATTCATTCAGTTCTCACAGTGAATAAGTATAGAAGCCAGATAGTAAAGCAATATTTTTCTTACTCCAAAGCTTGTGCTCATAACCACGTTAATTGCAAGAAATTATTTATTTTCCAAATGACTCACATTGTAGGCAGTTAGGGTAACTGGTTACCTGGTTAGGACAATTTTTACCTTAAAAGAATCTGAAATTTTGCTTTCTTGTATTATTTTCATTGCAACAAGGCCGTATTCGTATGAGTACCATGAGTTTAGAATTATTAACTAAGATGTATTCAACTTAATAACACTATATGAAAATAAATTTTCAAAGAAATAATTATTATTGCTTTCAAGCTCATATATTTATTTTTTATAGCTAGTAATTAGGAATTGGGTCTTTTCAGATTGAAAATCTAACCTGCATCCTTAGCTCTCTAGTCCTATCTTTTTTGATCTTCTGAGTTTCTCTGTTTGTGAAATGAATGTAACTTTTTTTTTTTTTTTAATTTTTTGTTTATTGCGGTAACGTTGGTTTATAACATTGTAAAAATTTCAGGTGTACATCATTGTACTTCTATTTCTGCATGGACTACATCATGTTCACCACCAAAATACTAATTACAACCCATCACCACACACATGTACCGAATTATCCCTTTCACCCTCCTCCCTCCCCTCTTCCCCTCTGGTAACCACCAATCCAATCTCTGTCCCTATGTGTTTGTTTATTGTTGTTATTATCTACTACTTAATGAAGGAAATCATACGGTAACTGTCTTTAATGTGACTGTTGTGAGCTGACTCATTTATCTCAATCTTAACGGTGAATAAATAACTCTCTGAGATTCAATTAGGCTCTCAGAAGGTACATTTACTTTTCCAGGACATTAAAGTACAATGGATCAGTAATTTACTAATTGATGCACTAGTGACCCAAAGCATTTTATGACTCAACTAAAGTCAGAAAATTCCACCTAAGGAGAAATTTATTGACAACATGTTGATTGAATATTTGTAAATGTTCATAAATATTTTGCTAAGAAGTAATTAAATGTTTTACATTTAAATAATTATGAATTGGAATAGTCACTATACTGATTTTAATAATAGATATATGTAAGTATCAAAAGTGAATTTCTAAAATGGAATAAAAAAAGATATCTAGGGAACAATGTGGCTTTATTTTTTGGAAAAGGGAACTGATTATTTTGGTATGTGCTAAAATGTTTATTAAGTATAATAATTACTTGTCATATTTCTATGGAGAACTTTCTAAATTTTGGCCCACTTTCAACACTTGGCTATTGTGTTTTCAAGGATAAATTCCCAGTCTCCCTGTGGAGAGCATATCAGAATTATATTAGGCACTTCTTCAAACTGCACAAATACATTTACACACACACACAAAACATACACATACAGGCAGATTTTCCTGTCTCTGAGATCTGTATACACCCTTCCTAAGGAAGCACCTCACTCCATCCTTCAGAATCAATGATACAGCAGACCATTGTGCTTGATGTGAGTACCTGACAGTCCTTACTTGTATTAAAGAAGATGACTGGAGCAAGAAAAAAAGCCAAGAACCACTAATTCAGAAAGACAGCCCTAAAAAATTGTTAAAAAATCTCTAAACAACTAGAAATGATCAGAGACAAAGGATCATTTGCACCCTTCTTTTCCTTCTTTCTTTCTTTTTTCTTTATTATTATTTATGTATGTATGTGTGTCAACTCACTTGTCCAGTTTCTACCATGACTTTTCAACTCTTTACCCTCACAAAACATTTAATCTTCCCACTCCCTCCCTAACTCTCGGAGGATGACCTCCACTCTCTTCTATAGAGAACATAAAAGATACCAGATTAAAATTCACACTTATTTCTACCTCTCAATCTATATCCCACACCCAGCCTATTCTATTTAACCTCTATTTACAATAGAGGAGCTGTCCTCCTTCCTACCTAAGGCCAACCCTCCATGAGTAAACTTATCAACCAATCCCCTTCATTTCACATGCTCAACCTTCTGTCTCTTATGTATTCAACATCATCCTACCAACCCTCGATTTCCTATGAAAAGATTCTTTAACTCCTTATCTGTCTTAAAATAAGGTTCTTAGTTTATCAATATGTTTATATTTATTTTATTTGCTATTAGCTAAGGTAATTAAGATTCTATTAGAGTAGGTTCAATATATTGCAAAATATTATTATAGGTCAAATGTGGAATACATTGCAAAATATTATTATATGTCAAATGTTTAATGTAAAAGTGATTATTTGAATTTTGATAAAAACTAGCACTGAACTGAAATACAAATATTTTCTTCAAAACTATTTTAATTACACAGTCATAACATTTTCCTTAAAAGGAGATATAACATTTGCATCCTCTTAAATCATGAAGAGGAGATGGATAGATAATACAATGGGGCATGAATAATAAGCCATATAATCATTGAATCCGAGAAGTTTAAACTTAGAGAAGTTGAAAAACATTTACTCTAATTTAATCTGAAATAAATGATCATATCTAACAAATAATTATCTAATTTATGCTTAAACATAATGCTAAAGACATTGTATTAACTATACCAATAGTTATACATTTATTTAATGTTTACTATATACTTAGAGCCATGGTATATGCTCCACATACATTATTTTATTTAATTTTATAACAAGTCTAAATGCCTCTTTTCAAGATGAACAATTCACATTTGAAATATTCTAATTAATATAAAGCTTTGATTTTATAATGAATTGATATCTGCTTCCCTGTATCCTCTATTGTCTTAGTTTTGTCGTCTATACAATACGTTATAAATTTAAGTAGATCTGCCCTATGACAATCTTTCAAATACTTGAAGAACACCATCTCATTCCCTACTTGGAAATAATATTTTAAAACTAAAAATAATTTGCTCATTCAATCTCTCTTCCCAAGATATGATTTCCATATCCCTCAAAATACGGTCATTCTCCTGTGAACAAAGTTTCCTCAACTGATATGGATAATATAGGTTTTTTTTTTAATGAAATTGGAGCCTGAATCATTTTTACTAGGTGAATTACAACATTGCCTTATACTAAGCTTAAGGTCAAATAAATTTTTAAAATATTTTTAAATGAAACACTATCAATCTAGAAGTCTTCCTAAGTCCTATGCAATTGATTTTGAAGCAAAATGTTGGATTTTATATTTGTCTCTCATCAATTTCATTCTTTGGTTCTTTGGTCCTTCATATCTATCTGAAATATTTTCAGTCTTTACCTGCTAACCATCATATCAACTTTTTCTGCTAGCTTTGAGTCATTTGGAAGTTTGAGAAGCAGGCCTTTAATTCTCCATCCACATTACTAGAAAAATATCGATAAAGAGTACACGGGCGAGTTCAAAGTACTGCAACTTGCCTCTAAAGTTCTACCCACTTTGACAACAGCTCATTAGTTAACACTCTCGATATGCTTTTTGCAATCACCTACGAGTATTCTTTACTATATTCTCATCCAGCCAGGTTTCTCCATATAGTTTTTAAGTGCTTTGTAAAAGGCATTATTGAACTCAAAATACATGTGTTATTAGATATTCACCTTCTCATGAATAGCTAAAGCTATCAAAAAGTAAAATGAATTGCTTAATTTTTTACCACCTACAACACATCTGATTAATAATCCATTCTGTAATTTTATCAGAGAATAACATCATATTCACTGCTCCATCA